TGGAAAATAGCAATCACTCCCACCTGATCTGTAGTGTTGATAAGGTAAGTCTGTGGTTTGAGTCAGTCTTAGAATGTGCAGTAAACAAGCGTAGGATATTAAGATGTGAAGTCTTACGCGCTAAAATATAAGCACGCACGTGTTCACGCATTTTTGTGCCCGCCGAAATTCGGCGGTCACTGTGGCTTGAAACGAGGGGAGCGCGAGTAGTGAATTTCAGAACCGAATTCAATAGGAATCGTGTAGTGATGACACCGTTTCGAATACGGATAATAATCGAATATCATTCGAATACTTTTCGAATAGTAAGGCAACTAATTTTCAAAGCAGACCTAGACTGGTGAGGCGACAATTTCGAAATCAGCCTCAGAATTCTGCAATATTTTATTTCAAGTAAATGTTCAAAAGCTTTAACAAAGGAACATTATGATTATTTTTAAGTGACACAAAGATGCTACATTTGTTTGAACTTGACCGCAGCTGAAGCCTTGGAAACGTTTTGTAACTAAAGAATGAAATATGATCAGTGATTATGCTATTCAATGTGTTCTTCAACGGCCTTTCAATAAAACTAAAACCTAAATATTGATGTCTTACTATAAACATAAGTTTCCAGTAAGGGTAAGTGATTGTTGACACTTTTGTTTTGGCGACACTGAATTTTTAAGTGAGGCGGCCTCATTCTGTGATTAATATGCGTTGATAGTGCAGTAAATGCACGGGCTGCATGTGTACGGGTAATTAAAAGACGAAAAAAAAAAGCGGAGTTACGCTACGCTGTTGCCACGTCTGATTCCTTCGAATATATTTGATCTTTCTGATTATTCAAACAATAATTAGAAAAATATCAGTTATTTTGACTATATACGCTATTCAATTCGACCGAATCGAATAAAACGCATTTTTGATCGTTGCAGATTATACAAACATTTGTCAGAAAAATATTGGGTATTTTTTAATATGTGCTATTCAATTGGAGTACCAAATATAATAGAACGCTATTCAATTTGTTATATGTTCAAATTTTTTTTTTAATTTTCGGCCACCCATACTGGGAATCGAACCCGTATACACGTTTTAGCCCTGTAGGAGGGTGAGCTCTGCATAGACGACTTTGGTTCCTTGTGCAATTCTGTGTACCAGCCCCATAAAAGATTAGTGTGGCAAACCAGATGCAACCTTGTTCGTCTCTTTGTTGCCTATCTAATCTACGTATCCATTTTCCGACTGAATTTCGTACAGTCTGTGTTGCTGGAAAGTTTCGATTTGAGAACAGAGACTGCAATATGAACTGCGTTGTGTATTTACTGTCACGAAGTGAGATCGATAGATGGATGAATGATAAACTTTATTGAGGTCCTGAAGGATTCCAGCCCTGTTTTATAAAGGCAGAATCGCAGGCCGCTCCCACGTATGGGCGAGGAGGCGTAACCTGACTACCGCGTAGCGAGAAAAAAAGAAATAAACAGCAACCGATAAGAGAGATGTGAAGGACGCTTCGCATTATGCGCATGAGGGCATCCGCCGGATTGTTGAAGAGGAATGCTGAAAAACAAAATCCTTTTCGTGAATTCAGTGCGCAGCCGTATTAGCGTAAATAGCAGCTTCTGCAGCCTGTCCGGTGCAACAGCTAATAATCAGGGCTTTGTGCGTGAAACACAACGGAAGTACTCACTGTGATTGCTTGATTCATTCTAATTCTGCTTCTTTAGCATATAAACTAAGCCTGTTTGTTATTAATACACGAACGGATATGAATAAAATACACGTACTTCGACGGCTGGGCCCCATTACTTAAGGAAACCGCTTAAGAGAGGTGTCTAGACATCAGAAGAGTTTGTACTGTGTCGCAACCAATGGTTGATCTTCATTCTTTTCGCGCTGTTTTGACGCTAAAGATGTTAATTTGTGGCTTTCAAGAACGATAGAAAAACAACGTTGCTGCATCTTTATTAGGCAAAAAATCATGAAAACTTATCTTAAAAAAAAGTCACAGCTTTGCCGCAAAGGCGAAGCAATGAAATGAATGCGATAGCAACAAACTGGACGGTCACGCGCAGAATGGCAAGCAGATCTGAATGTGCCCCGCGTTTTTCACGCAAAAAGGATGTACGAAACGCACTCACAGGTACAGATTAACGCGAATGAGCATCTCAGTTGTTACTTCGCTGTGTCTGAAAAGCGCGCCCTTTTCGCAAACGAAGGCTGTGCAACGATTGAAGTGAACTTGGCGCGCGTGGTAACTACAACGGAATCGTTCGGACGAAACTGAGAGGATAACCAAGACGTTCGATTTTTCCCACTGCAAGATGAGAGCGCGCGATCGAGCGTACATACACCCCCTTATTCTCTACGTGGGCCAAAGTACGCATGACAGATGAGAGCCGCCGTGCACTCACTGCGCCATCTTGCTGATAATGCTGAAAACACGATAGTCCCCCACTCCCTCCCGAGATGCCTGCCAACAGCGGTAAGTGGTAGATATGAATATCTTACCGTTTGAACGTTGAAGGAGTGGTTAACGCTTTGCAATCACGAAGCCGAGGTCCCACGTTCGATTCCGCGTGCCGTAGTCTTGTTTTCTGGATTTTTTTTTCTTTCTTGCGTTTTCATATATGTAGATACGTATACACATATACGGTGCATGACGCCGACGTCCACGCCGGCGGGGAAATCGAGCCGATAGTGTCCATATATTTGCTATCCCAATAAAAGCAATATTGGTGGCCATGTGCTCTAGAATCTTCTTTCCAGAGTATCAAACTAGAAGACTATATATGGGTAACGTTTGTCCGCCGCTGTGGTGTAGCAGTTACGGGGCTTTGCAGCTGAACCGAAGGTCGCGGGTTTGATCCCGGCTGCGGGGGTCTTATTTCAATGAATACAAAATACCATATAGCCTGAGAATGCCCAAAACGTTTGTGACGCTATTTTGTTTCGCTTCTTGTCCATAAAAACTAGCAGAGAGAAATTACAATTCCCAAAAATTGAACGGGTGTATCAAAACCTGACGGTACCCATTTGGGTACTGTGGCTTTGAACGAGTATGAAACGTGAGGAAGCGGTTGCGCTTATGCGAACGTGGAAAAACAATGCACTTCAAGCGTGTAATTCTTAATTTGCCACCGCATCCTCGGTAGCGACATTTCATCTGAAACCCGAGCCTCTCATGCTGCTGGAAGCGTGGGTGGGGTGCGGAACCTTGTCACACTGCACCCCATCAAATGGAAGTGGGATTACTTCACTCTTAATCCCTCCACCACCACTCGGTGATGGTTGCTCATCGGTCTTTGAACAGAGGCCTGATCATGTGCCTTTTAGTGCCAGCTTCGAGGATCGCGTTTACTATGTGGAATATCAAGTCTGTCTGTAAGTTTTGCGAGCAGAATCATTTCGTATCCTTTCTGGTATTCAATCCAGCTGTTGCAGCATGCGAGGAACAGCGATGAAGCTGGTAGGTTCGCTGACATGCGTTATAAACCACGACGCAGTCCACCGACGATCAGACTACTCGACGGCCAACAGCTGTTCACACCTCTATATATTTACTGTGTGAATCGCTTGCAAGTTGTATTTTCGCTTTTTTGATGGAGGACGAAAATGATTGACGCCCGTGTACTAAGATTAAGGGGCAAGTTAAAGAACCCGTGGTCAATATTTCTGGAGTCCTCCACTACGGTGCCTCTCGTAATCCTATCGTGCTTTTAGGACGTTAAGCCCAAACAGTTGTTATATTTTCATTTGCTAGGCGCAAGTGCACCCATATAGAAAGTTTAGCCAATGAGACGAAACGTCACCATTGTGACTGCAGCGCCACCGCATAAGACACTTGGATCAGACGGGAAATCGGACCGTCCGTCTCACCCTTTATTTACAGCTTTCCGGTGTGCAGATATTTGTTCACCTTGAGCATTAGTGGAGAACTAAATAGGACAGAGAACACTGATTTAATTAATTTAGCCTTACAGTTTTTTTATTTTTGCTGTAGGCCCGATATGAAAATGCACATGTGGGTACCATGGATAGATGGATACAATAAACAAAAAAAGAGTGAAGAAGGACAGTGTAAACAGGGATAGATAGATAGATAGATACACAGATAGATAGATTCTGGTGATAATGATGATGGCTTTAGCCATGGCTAGACGGAGTCCTGTGATCACACGCATCATGTACAATTTCAAAAAAATATACACACAAAAATCTACGATGATAAACTAACTAAAAGAATACCAGCACACATATACTAAACACTAATCACAATGTCATTTTGAGAGTCTCATGGAAGTAGCAATAGTTCACCTCACGTGCCAACACTCTGTCGCTTTTGCTACATCAGAAAGACGCTTCTTCCGTTTCTTTTTTTTTTCAGCTATCACTGCTTTGATCGTGTCTCGTACAGAGCTTGCGGAAACATTCTTTTCTGACTATCACTTTGTCGTGAAAGGTTTCCCATTACGAAGGAGTTTGCTTCTTCGTGTAATGAAATCGTTTGATATATTGCCCCCTTGCTGCCATCGTGTCCGTCTTCGTTCCTCGTATTTTCGCGCTGTCTTTGCAAACGTTCCAGTATTTAACGACTGCATATATTTATTCGTACCGAATGGATTTGCAACATATATATTAGGATGTCTGACTTCGTTTCAGACGCAGCGTTGTAGGGTACATTTTGTAGACCTTTATAGATTCGGCAAGCTCACGCGTGTGTACAGTTGAAGCTCGCGTTTTCTTGTTTCTTTTTACTTCTTTGTAACCTGTGCATCCCGCTGCCGCTCTTTCATGTGATCTGACTCGACACTGACGGCAGTTTGCCTCTTTGAATACGAGTCGTGAGAGTTGAACCAACTAATCGCAAAGTAACGCCTAGACTGCCTAATGAGTTGTACGTTTTTGCCAATAAAGCAGATGTTTGTCCTTTTACCTGTTTGAAGGCAGTACTTTTGTTAATCTGGCCTTAGTCGGTCTTCTGTGTGTGTCTCTATTATTATTTTTTCACCCTAATTCGCCCTTCTTGTGTTTGCTCGTACAGATGACAGGCCGCATTCGGATCACGCAATCCCGGAAGCTAGACTACCTAAGCCTTCGTTAGACCGGTTGCCGCTCAAGACACAATATTGAAGGTTTTAAGTGGCAGTGGCCTATTCGAGAGACTAAAACTTTCCCCTACCTCACCTCCTGTATTGTATTGATAGCACGCCTGTTCTTTCCGATTGCCATTGCATCCGTCTTTATCCCCCACCCCCCTTTTTTCATTCCTGTACGATAGTGAACGAGAAGTTGTGTGCCTTTTCGTGCACATTTGTGCATTGTTCTTATTTGCCTTCTTTTCTTTCGACAGGAGCTTTTCGCTCATTAGATCAGTTTAAACGACGATCACAAGCACCAACAACGCCTTCTACATGGAATGCGCAGTCATGTTCTTGGTCGTCCCTGCGGGCCTGACGTCGAGCACATATTTGCTGACGGCGTCCCGAAAGGCGGGCCAGGCGTCGGCCAGCCGTCGCTCTAGCACTTCCTCCTTGCGGCCGCCGACGCTGGTGGTGACCGTCTGGGGCACCGAGGAGCCACCCGTAAGCAGCGAGAAGAGGTGCATCTTGGCGATGAACAGGAGGCCCAACATGGGCAGCGCCAGCGCCAGCCCCACGAAGAGCGCCACGAGCGGCGCGGCCACCGACATGTCCCTGTTGGTCATGGCGCAGTCCGAGCTCGACGGCCACCTGGACGTCGTGTCCACCTGCACGCACGTGTCGGAAGACTAGCAGTTGCGGAATTCGCTTCGCGTTAAGCTGGAAGTCTGAGATGTCTCATCGAAGGCGAAAATTGACCGTCGACCGCCGTACCGCCCCGTGAGCGTCACCACAAGGTTTGATGAATAATAATTTTATAGTAATTAAATAACCAAAAAAGCTTGCACTTACATTAAGGCCACCTTTGCATAGCAGGAAGTCGTAATTAATCTTGCGGCACAATTTTTCTTATCGAATTTCATTGCACGCCTGCTAGAATGATAAGGAAGAGTGTCAATTTTAAATGAAAAATGTTCATTAGCAAACGGGTTACGACTGCTCGCGTGCGGAAAAACACCAGAAATACAAGTTCTGAGAAAATCAACAAGATTGTGAAACAGGTGTAGCAATTGCACAAGATGATCGGGTGAGCTAAAGTTCTCAATATTTGTTGCCAGATCCATCGAGGACCTTACTGCATTCTCTCGAGCGGCAAATCTTAATTTTTTTTCTAGCTCATTTTGCAAGATCAGTGCCATCCATGATGGGGCGCTTTCGCGCTGCTGTGCTGATCATTTGTAAGACCACTCACCAAGTGTAAGGGCCAGAGTCGATACTACATTGCTTACGAATATCAAATGTATTCTTCGAAAAGCCACACAGCGAAAAAAAGAAAAGCTAACTTAATGGTTCAGAGGTTCACATACGTGCTGTGAGCGTGAAAAAGCATGTATACCACTTTACGCGTTCCACTGGTGAGAAGTTTATAACTTTTATTATTGAAAAAGATGTGTTTTACGATGCTCTTAGAGCATTGTGATATGTTTTTACTCGATATGATTTGTAAATAACCTACAAAATATTATATATCAAGCTAGTTTTATGGTTCACACACAAAAAAAAACTAGCACTTTCACTTCCGTAGGAGTTGGATGGTTCAATATTTTCGCTTGCATATATTGAAGATGGCGTAAATGGAAGCTGTATACACAATACGATGGACAATAAATCAAACATTTAACGTAAAGAAAAAGACAAAAAAACATCTAAAAAAATGCTGTTTCCACATGGCCTCATATCAGCAATAAAGTGTTTTTGAACACCAAAGGAACAATAATAGAGGTGTCGCATAATGTGCATTGCGCAACAAGTGGGTCGTCGAACGCTCCAACCTTTTACAAAAGCTTGACCTTGTTCACCTATTAACTGAGGTGCATACCCGCTGTGGGGGATTATGGGACTTGCAAAAGCTTTCTGCATAATCCTTCATTGCCATCAGCCACAGAACAAAATATTGCACTAAGTTATTTGCAAGTATCCAGCAGGTATTACGCTTCTCCGAAGAATGACTAAGGATGGCATAGTCGCAACACGGGACAGTGAACATTAGATAAATAGACAAATACGTAGATAGATAGATAGAAAGAAAGAAAGAAAGAAAGAAAGGAAAAAGGAAGAAAGAAATATAGATATATATATATATATAGATAGATAGATAGATAGATAGATAGATAGATAGATAGATAGATAGATAGATAGATAGATAGATAGATAGATAGATAGATACTACTCGAAAGAACAAGAAGTTACAGGGAGGCCAAAAAGGGCTCCATGATCGAGGATGTGCTCGCCTAGCACCACGCTTTCGCGAGCTATAAGTTTTTACCGAGGACCCGGAAAGACACCGACCACGCATCAATGCCTGATATTAGACTGCTAGAGCCTAAAACAACCAGTTGCGATGCTGGCTCCTTAGCCTGACATCGTTGTGTTAATGCTGCAGACCGGAGGCGCCGCAACCAGCTGTAGGACACGAACCTCGTTTTGCTTAGCGCAAAGCTCGACTGCAGGGCCGCTGTGGCGGGAACTGCAGCCGACCGCCTGCTCCCGGTAGGCGAAGCGCAGAGGACTGTGAAAAAGCATCTTTAAACGTTGAGCTACCCAGCTATTTGAACACAGATTGTTGTACTAACAATATGTGCACGGTGTAGTATCGAGCCGAAGCGAACTGGTCAGTCAACTTTCCCTTTGCAACCTTTCTACCTTCTATGTGGTTTAAAAAAATGTTCGTGGAGTTAGCAGGAGCTAACCAAGCAGCTCCTCAGCTGCCCCTCCAAGGTTCCTCCATCTTAACAATTAAAATTGAAGGACTTCTATCTGTTGTTTTTTTTTCACCACCTCAGTTTATGATAAACTGTACACTGTACAAATTATATAACTTTTATGTAGCTCTGCAACACTTTTACAGGTAAATGTCGAATAGCTTCATTTGAAATAGCTTATATCTTCACAAATCGACTTGCGTAAATGTTTTTTTTCTTTTTTTTCAGATATCTGTCGCGCGTGTTCATTCTCTCGAATCATGATATTTATGCAGCTCACGATGCTCAAATGAGCCAACGGCCGGAGACTTTGGGTTTATGACGTGGCGATTTGGGGTTATGGCATAATTTTTAGAAAGGAGAGTGAGTGTTTTTAGCTGACTTAGGCTACTTATGTAAATTTCGGGCCATGCGCTGAGCTGGAATGTTTGGCTCACGTGTTTTAAAGAGCCGCTCACTAACAATCAGCAGCGTTTTCTGACCACGTTGAAAAGTGCCACAGAGCCCCTTTAGGTGGCCCTCGTTCAAGGGTTTCTGTTTCCGTTGCCAATTACACGAGAGCTACAGCCTCGACTGACCTGCATCGGGGTGTGCACGATGGCGTGGAGTGGCATTTGCTGCTCGTAAGGTACGCCGCCTCCCGCTGTCGAGAATGCGTCCAGCCCTACGTTCCCCACGTGATGAACGCCTCCGCCTACAGAACCCCTGTCATTGGTCTGGTGGTGGAGGTGGTGAACGACTGGCGGTGATGGTTGCGGTGGTGCCACGGGACCGAATCCTCCACCATTACCGCCACCATGGCCAACGCCATGGTCGGGCAGCAAGTCTATCTGCCAGATCTCCGTCTTCTTGGTACCTGATGCACTGGAAACTGATGTTGAAGGCCGAACACCACCAGCGGCACAGGAAACAGTTGCCACCAGCAATAAACCGACCATGATTGCTGAAAAAATGGCAGCCTGGAAAAAGAGCCTGCAGTCTGCCAGCCGAGCCATCGTTCTTCAACCTTTTGTGACCTGTAACCAGTGCAAAGAAGTGTTACAAATAGAAAAGAATATATATAGATTGTAAAGAAGCCGCCGAACACTGAAGTGGGTAAAACTCTCAAGTGTTCTCTAGTGGGTCTACCCGAAAAAGGACGCCGCTCGCGCTTGGAGTCCGTGCTTGGCCGTTACTGTCGCCATTGTCTATACTCGCTGTGTGCCTGCTAATAAACGCCATAACAAATTGGTGGAGGTGCTACGATCCCCTTTGATGCCCTGGGAACTGCGCTCACGTACCCTGGAGTCTACCATGTCCCACGACGCCTCTCAGCAAACGCCTCCTCCCATGCCACCCCCTTGTCCCGGTGTCCCCAGGATCCGAGATCCACCCATCTTCACGGGCGCCGATGGCACTGACGTGGAGGACTGGCTCGCTATTTACGAGCGCGTGAGCGTGCCCAACAAATGGGACGAGGACGGCAAGTTGACAAACTTGGTGTTCTACCTTGCGGGCGTTGCGAGCTTGTGGTACAACAACCACGCGTCCGATATCGCAACCTGGTCCAATTTCAAGACCGCTATCACCAACGTTTTTGGCCGCCCTGCCGTTCGTAAGCTGCAAGCCGAGCAGCGCTTACGCGAACGCGCTCAGCAGGCCGGTGAGTCATTCACCAGTTACATAGAAGATGTCCTGGACCTGTGCAAGAAATCTAACGACAGCATGTCCGAATCAGACAAGATCCGGAACGTCATGAAGGGCATTGACGATGATGCCTTCACGATGCTGCTTGCCAAAAACCCAGGCACAGTAGCTGAGGTCATCACGCTGTGCCAGAGCTATGAGGAGCTCCGCCGGCAGCGTTCGATGACCCGTCGCTCCACACCACGAGATGCAGGGCTTGCAGGCTTGGAGGCGAGCTGTGATCAGGTGGCACTGCTGGCAGACCTCAAGTCCTTCATACGTGAGGAAATCGCGCGGCAGTTCTCTATCCTGCACTTCGCCCACCCACCGGCTGCTCAACAATCGGCCACTGCTATTCTTCCACCCATACGCCGAGCAATTGAGCAGGAAATAGCGGAGGTCATGCCTGCGTACCAACCACAGCAGCTTCCGGCCCCTGCGCCCCCAAGTTACGCCCAAGTGGTCGCCAGGCCGCCTCCAGTCGTTCAACCGCCCGCCCCACTGACTTACGCCGAAGCTGCCGCACGACCTCCATCCTTTGCAGCGGCTACGCCGGCTACGTATGTTGACGTGACCTCTCAGACTCAGCTCCAGCACCCCCTGCAGCCTTTCCAGCCACCGTTCCGTCCATCGGCTCTTGCGTCATGGACAAGACCTACCCCAGCGAACCGATGGCGCACACCCGACAACCGGCCCATCTGCTTTACCTGTGGTTACGCTGGTCACGTAGCCCGTTATTGCCATCGTGTACAGCCGGCTCGAATTTCTTCGCCTAGTGCTGGCCACCTCAGCCGTCCCTATCACGACGAACCACCGTCTATGCCACCGCCGTCTCGCCCAGGTCCATCTCCTCGAAGGTCGCCGTCTCCACGACGTCGTTCCCTGTCCCCCATGAGGCCAAGTTCAGCTACTCATGAGCGGGAAAACTAGTCGTCGCAGTCCCCGAGGCAAGGACTGCGATGCTATTGCGATGTGAAAGCCCTCAGAGCCGCCCATCTAATGTCATCGACGTGCTTGTGGACGGTGTTCATGCGTCTGCTCTTATTGACACTGGAGCTGCAGTATCCGTTATGGACGAAAACTTTTGCCGCTTGCTTCGAAAAGTGACGACGCCGATTTCTGGGTTGTCCCTTCGTACTGCCGGTTCACATCGTATCCATCCTTCAGCAGAGTGCACAGCTCGCGTTGTCGTTCAGGACGTTCTGTATGTCGGCCAATTCATCATCATTCCTGCATGCTCTCATGACGTCATCCTGGGGTGGGATTTTCTTTCCCGCAACGACGCCGTCATCCATTGTGCCAATGCCGAAATTGAACTCTCACCCTTCTCGCATTTGACGCCGGAAGACAGTCCCTCAAAATTGAGTAAGATTCTCGTGAAAGACGACACCTTAGTGCCTCCAAGCTCAGCGATGGGTGTACATGTCTACTGCGCTGGACTCTCCGACACAATTGCGCTCGTTTCGCCATCCGACCGTGCTTGCCGACGGAAAGGGTTGCTAGTACCTTTCGCGACCGTGCAAATCACCCAGAGCAACGCCGCTATTTTTGTGACCAACCCATCCCCGTACACTGTTACCTTGGTTCGAGGGGAATGTCTCGGCAGAGTGGAACCAGTGGATAACGCACAAGTCCTGGACGTACCTGATGACTCGCGTTGTCCCAGTTCGTGTACTGTCAGCGCTGTTTCCACTTATGATTCATCATCTCCTGATGTATTCGGCCCCTACATTGATGACAATCTTACGTCGGTACAGCGTTCCCAGCTTCTGGACCTGCTGCGAGAATATCATTCTTCTTTCGATGTCGGGCGAAGTTCTCTCGGTCGCGCGTCCGCTGTTACACATCGTATCGACACTGGTGCCCATCCACCATTACGGCAACGTCCCTACCGCGTGTCGCCTGCTGAACGTCGGGAAATTAACGAGCAGGTTGATGATATGCTCAGACGCGACGTTATTCGGCCCTCGGACAGTCCCTGGGCGTCTCCTGTTGTTCTTGTCGCGAAGAAAGATGGTTCTGTGCGGTTCTGTGTGGACTACAGACGGCTCAATAAGATCACGCGCAAGGATGTTTACCCACTGCCGCGCATCGATGACGCAATCGACAGCCTTCACGGAGCCGAATTTTTTTCTTCTCTCGATCTGCGCTCGGGGTACTGGCAAGTACCCATGGCTGATGACGCTCGACCGAAGACTGCGTTCATCACACCCGACGGCTTGTACGAATTCAACGTCATGCCGTTTGGTCTATGTAATGCTCCTGCGACCTTTGAGCGCATGATGGACACCGTGCTGCGCAACTTGAAATGGCACACGTGCTTGTGTTACCCTCGATGACGTTGTTGTGTTCGCCCCAGATTTCTCCACGCATCTCCAACGTCTGAAAGAAGTTTTCGCACGTGTGAGCAATGCCGGCTTGCAACTAAATCTGCAGAAGTGCCGCTTTGCAGCACGGCAACTGACCATCCTAGGGTACGTCGTGTCTAAGGATGGCATTCTTCCTGACCCAGCCAAGCTTCGGGCCGTGGCTGAATTCCCCAAACCTGCGTCCGTCAAAGAACTGCGTAGTTTCGTTGGCCTGTGCTCATACTTCCGACGCTTCATACGAAACTTTGCTACGATTATATCACCGCTGACGAAGCTCCTTGGAAGTAACGGGCCCCTCAATTCGTGGTCGTCTGAGTGCGACGACGCGTTCGCGAAGCTCCGCCATTTGCTGACGTCTCCTCCCATTCTACGCCACTACGACCCTACGGCCCCGACGGAGGTGCACACAGACGCCAGTGGTGTAGGCCTCGGCGCTGTCCTGGCGCAGCGCAAACCCGGATTCCCTGAATATGTCGTAGCATATGCAAGCCGTACGCTCACGAGAGCCGAGACAAACTACACCGTCACGGAGAAAGAGTGCCTAACAATATATATAACACGCCATAACAATATATATATATATATTATATATATACATACATACATACATGAGATCTAACAGACAGTAATGCCAAGGAATGTACAGGGGAAGTCATTAGAACCAATGATATGTAAATAAGAAGAAAGAAGAAAGAAAAGTGGATGGAAAAATAACCAGCCATGAGCAGGAATCGAACCTACGATCTTCGAATAACGCGTTCGATGCTCTAACCACTGAGCTATCACAGCGGCCTTCCCTCCATCCACTTTTTTGGGGTTATATGTGAATTTAGAAGTAGGAGTGACAGTCAGCGCCATCTATGAGCCAAAGAACGAGTGTGAAAACACTCTTATTCGCATGTTTGGCGTCACGTAGCACGTGAACTTATTATGAGCGGGCAGCTGATTAATTGTCCCTCTTATACAACCTAAACACACCAAGTCTGCCAGTACGAGACCCTCGTTCAATGAAAATAAGGGAAAGAAGTGTATACCTAAGGGCTCGTTTTTCCGTGTTTTCGTAGGTTCCGTTTTCGTAGGTTCGTTTTCGTAGGTTCGTTTTTCCGTTTTCGTAGGTTCGATTCCTGCTCACGACTGGTTATTTTTCCATCCACTTTTCTTTCTTCTTTCTTCTTATTTACATTTCATTGGTTCTAATAACTTCCCCTGTACATTCCTTGGCATTACTGTCTGTTAGATCTCATTAATATTGTGTTAAAACCCCTTAGGTATACACTTTTTTGCCTTATTATATATATATGTGTATGTATATATATATATATATATATATATATATATATATGTATATCGAAGATGTTGGGTAACGACACATATGTTTCGTAATATTTTAGGGGATCATTTCTGAACGATGTAATTATTACAGAAGAAAAAATGTATGTTTGTCGCAGACACAGCATAGCTAGACATTACAGCAATATGCGCTTCAGCACGGTCCCCTTTGGCTTGTTTGAATACTCAGATATTTGCGACAAATGAGCAGTGTACACTGCTGGAGCGTCTTCAGCATTCCATTCATTATCTCCATCCGCCATAACGTTTCTTTTTCTTTTAATAGAAGCGTATATTGCGTTGCACACAATGCACAGTACGTTGACAATCCTCTCACGTTTTGGAGAGTTAAGCACGTATTGTGCGGCTGATACTGCTTTTGCGTGCCGCAACCAAATACCTCCCGCGAGAGTGTCTTGAAAAGTCGAACCGGTAAATCATTTTTCGTAAGCTCCCATGGGGGTATTATAATATAGCTCATGAAATCTTTATGGTGTTCCTTGTAATCAAAGCTAGAGGACTATGCAAACAACTGAGCACAAAACTTTTAAACACTCTTGCTTGTGCTTATGTGTTTCTTGGTGATGTTTTTATTGCTTCGCGGTGCCGTTTCAAATTTACGAACTCTGTCGGGGAACTAAGTCAGGAATGTT